AAACCTGAGCCTGCTTTTTATTCAGCAGGAACACATCCCCCTGGTAGAGCTTACACTGATACATCTACGCCATAAACATGCAGCGGCACCCAGATCTCACTTTCACATAGTCCTTCTGTCCATCAGGCAATTGCCCCTTGATTCACTTGTTTAGTTTTTGGTTCCTCAGTCACTGTTTTATTTTTTCCTTTTGTTTACAGTAGCATGACAATTCTCCCTTCCAACTCTGCCAGCCACAACAGCTAGTCACCTGACTTTGTAAAACTGTATCACAGCCGTGTGTGAAAAATGTGCCACCGAATCTTCCTTCTCAGAATCAAACTATCCATGGAGAGCCTCCATTGGTTTCGCTTGATATTTAACTGAAATTGAAGCACTATCCATTACCGTTTCTGTTCCATTGGACGGTTTTTGTCTTAAGCCTTGAAATTTTCTGTTGAGCTTTTAAACACACACACACACACACACACACACACACACACACACGAATTTACACTCTTTACCAAAAGGCTTTTCTAAAGCCCCCTAACTGAGCAAATTTCAAGGTCTTTTTCCCTACCGCAATGAAGGATTTGCAAAGTAACAAACCCCATGGGTACGTGGAATCCACATCCAGGCTGCAATACAAAATCGTACAGATGAGGGTGAAAGGAAAGGTGAAAAAGGGAGGGAGAAGGGTAAGAAAGAGGCAGCCAAGGGTCAGACTCTTGACTGTAACAGCTCCACATCAAAGGCTAAAAACAGATGAAAGGCTGCCCCCTTCAGTCCTCTCTGGAGTTACTTATGTGCTACCCAATTTCAGGAGGGCCTCCCAAGGCATCCGTATAGCCACTGGGTTTCAACAGCTGTTTCCCCACTTCCCTATGTAAATCAGATCAAAAAGTAAACACAAGGAAACAAGTCAACCATCAAGACGACTTTAGACATTTAAATAAAGACGCTTATTTGTTGAAATTCATTTTATTTCTTGTTTGTTCCTGTTATACCTATTCAGTTAAGTTGCTAACAACTGCTAGGCATTCCCCCTGACACATTTTAAGATCAGGGAGATGGCAACTCAACACTTGCAATAAAGTCAGTGAATCAATGTCAGTATCTTTCAGGCTTAGAGAGCAGGCTGCAGGCCGGGGGTGGTGCAATCCCAGCACTCGGGAGGCTGAGGCAGGAGGATGGCTGCAAGTTTGAGGCCAGCCTGTGCTACACAGTGAGTTCAAGTCCAGCCTGAAACGCAGAGAGACCCTGTCTCAAAAAAAAAACAAAAAAAACCTTAGAAAGTGGGCTGCAATTTAGCAAAACTCATCAAATACTAATATATGGGTGTCCCCTAGAATTGGATTTTCAGTATTCATCTCAGGATTTAGGTTTTGTGTCACTGAATTGGGGGCTTGACCACTGAATTGAAGCTGTTCAGTACTCCTACCACACTTACACATTATACACACACAAAGCTTCCATGTCATATATATATAATTTTTTTTGTATCAGGACTTGAACTCAGGACTCTGCACTTGACAGGCAGGCACTTGTGCCACTGAGTTATATCCCCGGCCCCCACTTATTTATAAAAAAAAAGAACAATTTGTTTTCTGTTAAACTATCTAAACTCCAGTACCGTGAGATTGTATTAACCATCCTGAAAGCAGTGTCTACTTGTAATCCTGGTATAACAAAGTCTTACATTTAGCCAAAGGCAGTTCTTTGAAATGATGTCTAAGCAAAAACACAGGAAAAAAAATGTTTCCACTAAGGTAACCTGAAGAAAAATGTCCGTTTGAACCTCACGTATGCTATGTTGCCAGAATACAAAATGGGCACAACTGAGAATATTAAGTAGTGGAGTCTGCTTTACTCTGGATCCAGAAAATAGGTCGTTACTTGAAGACAGCATTTCTGCTTCATCTAACATAGAAAATAGCATCTGAATTAGAAAAGTTCTTCTGGCTTTTCTAGTAAATATATCTGTATCTATATACTGATATATACTGATACTGTTATGACAGTGGTAGCGAATGTAGCATACCATTGCTGTAAAACTAAGCTCTTCTTGTTCCACAGACTCGTGTTTCAAAGGCGAACCTTTATAGGACTGACCACAGAATGGGTGTGCTAAGGCCTGGCAGGAGACCCACCCCTAAGTGTGATGTTTTACCTTCTCCTCGGTAGTCTTCTCCACATTACCTAGGTAAATAACACTATCTCCGCTATATACAAGAGCAGCCAGGGCCTAACCTCCCAATCAATTCCTACTCCATTACAAAATGGGTCTCATAAGCCAGGGGAAAGGTTAACCAGCATTGCAGGAAATGCATATGCATTAACAACTTTGAGAACAGGGCTAATTCATTTATAAGCTAGATAAAACAAACAAAGGCTAAGTCAAATTGTCAAAAGACAAATACTAATCTGTCCTTTGTGTTAACTGCAATGAATTCTAATCACTTATTTCCCCTTAGAAACCCAGATAGCTGACTCTCACCCTGACCATCACTATCAGAAACAAACCGTGTAATGACTCCTCCATTACAGCAAATAATTCCACCACTGGCAACACCACCTTCAAATATGAGAAGAGCTATAAATTGCAAACCCAAGGTACAACCCTCACTATACAACCTTCATCATAAAAGGTATGATAAATTTAACAGCAACATGGAAAGTAAATTCCTACCTTGAACTTTAACCCATGAGCTCATGGGAGAAATTTTATGGAATGTTTACCTTCCATGGTATTTTATCTTTGTTTTTTTTTGTTGTTTTTTTTTCCAGTACCGGCAATTGAACTCACGACCTTGTGCTTGCCAGGTAGGCACTGTGCCGCTGAGCTAAATCCCCAGCCCCAGTATTTTATCTCGAATGTATGAACAAGCTCATCACACTGACCTAAAAAGTGATTATCAAAAAATAAGCTTCCTTCAGTTCTATCAAGCTACCACGGCAGGCAAGGACGTTTTTCTATTAACATATTTCTGAAACAGTTGACAACATCCACTTAACTTCATCCGAATAACATTTTAATGGCTGCATTCAGTTTCTCTTCCCATGATTCCAAGGAAACAGGCTTTCGGAAGTCATTCCCGGCATCCTGGATGGCATATCCAAAGGCATTGTTTTTATCCTCAGCAATCTCAGTACCTCCACAGCTCCCATAACACGTCTTTTTCTTACCTCCCTGACCTGTTTTCCCTTCCCTTCTATCTTTTAAATATGATCCCTAAGGTCTGCCCTTGAACTTGGCGAAATTTAGATAAATTTGTGATATCCATACTCACCCCTCTGCATCTATGGGTGACTGGTTCCAGACACCCTCTCCCCATACACACAACCCCAAGGACACCAAAATCCACGATGCTCAAGTCTATTATGTAAAATGGTACAGAAATAGGCAAAATGCAAACCCCAACTGCCTTGAATTTCCTCCCTACCTCAGCCAGAGGGCCTATCAAAAATATAAAAAACAAATACCATTTGATCCACATACACCAGTTCTGAGTACACTGTCCGAAGAATTAAAAAACAGCATTGTATAGTAACACATGCCTATCTGTTTACAGCGGCACAGTTCACAACAGCTAAGCTGAGCTACACTGTCTTCATACTGAGCAGCATCCCAATGTCTTTAACTTTTAATTTTGAGACAGCGTCTCACTAGGTTACCCAGGCTGGACTCAAATTTGTGATCTTGTGTTGGGATTACAGGTGTGAGCCACCACACTTGGCTTCTCCATATATTTTTCATTGATGGCTGATCAAACCCAAGCATACAGAAAGCCAACCGTATTTTAAAATAGAACAGCACTTTTCTCCTTTAATGGTCTAAATAGTTTACTACTCTATTCTTTACTAAAAAAAGTTAATTATGGGTCATTTCACTCAATATCATCTTTTCTCCCTCAGATCTTCTCATTTTTCAGTGATTTCTGAGTAGCTATGGAATTCATTTAAAAATGTTATAAATAAAATCATTCCTAACCTGGTGCTAAATTCAGTTTGTACCATTCTCTAGGAAGTCCTTTTTTCAATATATATATAAGCCACTAATTTGATTTCGTTTGACTTCAAATGGGATATAAAGACAAATATATCAACTAAACCACACAAAATAGCCAACAGTCAATTGTATTTTGCATGGAATGGATATTTTCATATGGTTTAATCTACTATGTTCATTTTAATCACTGAAATATAGATTTCAAACTTCATTAAGCATAACTTCAGAATCTGGAATTTCCTAAACTAAGTCTAATGCTTCAAATCTTTATGTTAAGATGGAGAGGTCTATATTTGCTCTTTGGCAGCACCTCCAAAACAAATCAGCATCCGGGTGCTTTTGTTCCCCACATGTACAATTATATTGATGGTTTTATTTGAAATGTGCTAAAAATAACAAAGCAAATAACTTAGTGCTTCATAAAATGTTCTTAAATATTATAGACTGTCTGCCCAGAAATAAGGGTGTCTTACTGCGTTGTAAAATCAGGAATACAGGTGCTGTATTGAAGAATTCAAACAATTGGTGACAATTCTTCAAAATGAAGTTGTGTATTATTTAAGTTGACTTTCAAAACTTACAGAAAGCATCAGTGTCAATCAATCTATACAATGATAATTCTATAAGCTGTAATGACGGTTGTATATGTCCATATGGTGATTTTGAATAATATTCAAATATACTGGAAGTTTTTGGAGTAAATCTGTGTTTATGGCTGTGTATAATGGTTTGTCAAACATACCATATGCTAAGAGGACTATAAACATTTTGCCTTTTAGTTATAATTATAAAAACAAATGAACCAGGCGTGGTGGCGCACTCCTGTAATCCCAGCACCTGGGAGGCTGAGGCAGGAGAATCACTGTGAGTTCGAAACCATTTTGATTTGAATACAAACCACTGAGCTCAAGGCCAGCCTGAACTGCACAGCAAGACCCTGTCTCAAAAAAACAAAAAAAACCCCAAAAAACAAAAAACCTAAAACAACCCCAAATGAGCTATTAATAGAATCTCAATATAAATAAAAGTCCATTTATTCTCTAGGGGGTAACTTTGATTCCTGCCATTATTAAAATTGGACTTAAGGTTGCAATACAGATGAACAATACAAGAAGTTTTTTCCCTTCTCTAGTAAACAGTAAAGGAAAAAGTTGACAAACCTATAGTGTTTAACACTGGAATAACATGTTTCTTACAGCATGTTATAGGCTTTCAGAGGAAAAGCATAGAAAGGCTCACAACATATACCAGGAGCCATGACATTTCTGAAGAATGAAATGCGGAAACCAAAATTTTACACATGGATAAAAATAGTCCAGTAACTTTCCTTTCTTCTATGACTGTGAATTCCTCTCTTTCATGCTTCTCTTTGCATATGAAAAATTAATGGACAGAAAATTTTTAGCAGAAAGAACTAGCAAATATAAATTTATACCAACTATCTGAAAATTCTGCTTTTAAGTAACACACACACCCAATTAGTCAAAGGCAAAGTAACTAAAAAACAAATGAAAGCAGTATTTTTAGTAAAGTACCCCTCTCTCCTTCCTTATATATGGTATCACAAATTCACCTACACTCTGATCCAGCTTTTAAAAATTTCTAAAGGTTGTTGTTTGTCATTAAATGAATAAATCCCTTTTGTCTAAAGTGATACTTCCCAAAAAAGCAATACTCCAATATTATACATTTCCGATATTTTAATATTTTTATTGGCAAAGAGAAGCCTAAGAATTTTTTTAAAAAACATTTCCAGAGGCAACACCTTTTACCATAAAATAAATTTATGTGACTTGGGAGGACAAATCTCAAATGTATGTTTTTGCTTATATGCCAATTTTATAATTAGTACAAAAAAGTTTGTTGAAATATTTTAAAAATGTAAAAACCAGCCTAGCAACGTAGCTATACAATCTCGCTGTAAAAGTACTTGTATCAAATCTGCCCAAAATATTTTTGCAATATACTAAATTTCATTCCTCAAGTTCCTGCTCACTGTCGACTTGCTTTTCCATTTTCTGTTGTCTCCATCCTGAAAAAAACAAGGGGAAAAAAAAAATCAGTAAAATTAAAAATTAATACATTAACTATCGACATTTCTTCTACTTTTATCTACCTTACACATCGACACTAAGATTTACTATATTCACAGAATAGAACACGGGCAGCTCAGGAAAGGATGAAGAGTCCTCTACTTAGTCAAACTTCCTCATTTTGCAGAGGAGGTAAAATTGAGCTCGGAGAGAATAAGTGACTTTCCCAAGCTTACATTTCTAGTTTGTTCACTGTACCACTCACTCTTCACGCAAAACATGGGAAAAATCTCCACCACTTAGACAAGCTTTCTTTTCCACTAGGTATGATACTCATTTGCCATTACATTTTATGATTTCTTCTAAAACATTTATTAAGATCATTAGATCTGAGATTTATTCTATTATATCCAATATTTCTGACTGTATTTTGATTATTTAACAGGGAAAACATTTTACCCTTATTATTTTATACAGAGTCAGTGTTGCCTCCTAGGCGTTCTCTGTAATTTTCCTTCTGTGATGCTTACTAAACATGGAAAAAATAATGCCTTAAATGGTAATACTTTCAGGGTTATAATCAATACCAGTTAATGTTTCTGCCTTATAGATATCATGTACTAAGCAGTAAAAACTTGCTGAGCACAACCAACAAGCAGTGTTTATCAAGACCCCACCCAGGTAACTAACAAAACCAGCTTCTACCATGAAGAACACAAACCCGTTTTCCTCCTTGAGATGTTGGTACAACTCTGCTCTGTTATTAACGGAGTTCAAACGTCCAGCAAACTCTTGATGTTTTCTGGAATTGGCAGTGTTGATCCTATTACACCACAGGGATAATAAGGACACTGGTCCTGGTGTTGTATTAGAAAGAAAAGAAACAAAGGTAGGAAATTTTATTATTTGGAAATTCACATATTTAACGAACTGCCCTTTAATTCTATTCTTCATTTTATCTAAGTAAGGCAACTGCACCTCATTTATTTATTTATTTATTTAGTTAGTTAGTTAGTTAGTCAGTCAGTCAGTCAGTCAGTCAGTCAGTCAGTCAGTCAGTCTTTTGGAGACAGGATCTCACTTTGCAGTTCAAACGGGCCTTGAGCTCACTTTGTAGCCCAGGCTGGCCTTGAATTCGCAATGATCCTCCTGCCTCAGCCTCCCGAGTGCTGGGATTACAGGCATGTGCCACCACGCCCAGCACAGCATCTCTTATTTTAAAATGTGTTTGGGGTCCCCATGACCACTCACTAGTTTCACTGCTTTTCTGAAAGGATTCAAAGGTATACACCTGGCTAAGAATTCATAACACAGTAAAGACACACACCCAGATCTGTAAGGGGAAAATTAGGCAGAGCCTAGAGAAAGTCGTATCTAGGGTTTCCTTGTTCTCTGCTTCCAATGACAGTTCACATAAAGTAGGCACTCCCTCTAGAGATAAAAAGGTAGCTGTGTGTAGCTGTGTAATCTGCCAGGAACACCCTTTTGAGACCAAAGTCCAGGGTTGTTACCAGGGACTAACTCTAGGCATTCTCAGCCTAACCAAAGAACCACAGTTTCAGACTTCTAACGGGAAAGCTGTGGTACAGTTCAAATGAGAGGCAAAATCACTTTATCTATGGCACATTTCAAAAGCCAAGCTCCCAGATGCCAGCCTAATGCCAAGCTTGAAGACAAGCTTTTCTGATGATAACAGCCTCAGGCCTGCAAAGTTAAACTCTTTCCTGCACAAGACGGTAAGACAAAAGAACTACAATAGCCCAAACATTTTAAGAAGGGAAACGAGGAGAAGGGGTGGGAGCAGCAGGAGCAGCAGTACAGTAGTAGCAGCAGTTAAGAGGGCTTTTTACTACCTGATTTCAAGACTTAAGTTGCAGTGACTATGACACACGGTACTGATGAAAGGTCAGAGTAAGAGCCCCACATGGCATAAAACAGACACCAGCAACAGCCTCCCACAGACACAGTCAAAAGACTTGTACTAAATATAGAAGAACAATTCAGGGAAGAAGGGGGATATCCAAACTCTCCAAATTACCTCTTCCACTGTCTCAATAATATTTTCATATATATGCTAATGATTCATTTTTACTAGTAGTTTTCTTAGTTTGCTGAAAATAAAGTCTGTATTATTATGTTTGTTTCTTCTTTTTAAGAATCTGAGTAACTAAAGATAATGATACACTGTATTAAAAAAGTGGACAAGATGTTTGAATGGTACCTTCACCAATGAAAACAAACACATGGCAAGTAAACAGTGGAAGTCTCATCATCATTATGCATGCAGAAACTGTAAATTAAAACAATGAACTACTACTACATACCTATTAGAAGAGCTAAAGGAACAACACGTAACCCTGGCAATACAAGTGCTGACAAGAATGCAGAGCAGGGCCAGGGATATAGCTCAGTGGCATAAGCACCTGCCTGGCAAGCGCAACGTCCTGAGTTCGATTCCCGGTACCAAAAAAAAAAAAAAAAAAATGCAGAGCAACCAGAACTCCCCTACATCGCTGGTGGGAATGCAAATTGGCACAAAGAAGACACTCAACAGTGATGAATCTCAAATGCGCCATGCCGTGTGAAAGAGAACAGCCTCAAAGAGCAGCATAATGTTTGATTTCATTTGAACTCTGAAAAAGGCATGATTGTGGGAAGATAAACACACCAGTGGTTGGTTCCCAGGGATTGGGGGTAGGGTAAGTGCAGGATGACTGCAAAGGTGCAGAACAAAGAGGTCTGGGACCGACTGCTCTGCGCTTATCAACCGTGGCAGTGGTAATATACCACTGTATACAACGTCTAAGCCCACAGAACTGCACAGCAAAGCGTCAATATTACTGTACATAAATTTTAAAGAAAATTAAAAATAAAATTATTTTATCATAAAACCAAAATATATGCATCAGAGAAAATTTAGAAAGTAAAGATAAACATAAAGAACCAAAAAAAGAAAAAAATCACCCAAAGTACCAGCTCTAAAAATAAAGTGACATCTTGGTTTTTCTGTTACTACATTTCACAGTGTGGGCTTAACGATTTTCACCAAATGGCAGGAGCACATCTGGAATAACTGAACCCAGTGGTGGCAAAAGCACGGCGCATGCGTTGCAGCAGGTTGCCTGCATCATGAAAGCCCTCAAAGGCTCGCCATCACTGGTCTAACTTTAGAACATCTAACACAGGCGCAAAGTTGCCTCTGAGGCAGCCTGGCTTCCAAAGCAGATGGAACTACAGATTAATAAAAGGCCCAGACAAACTGCTGATCAGAAGAGACATCTGATTAAGTTGTAAGACAGAATGCAAGAAAAAACAAAAACCAACTGTGGGATATTCTGGCATGTGAGAAATAATGTAATTTATCAATAGATACTCATTTCTTTTTTTTTGTGGAGGGGGGGAGTCTTTTTTTGAGACAGGGTCTCGCTCTGCAGTTCAGGCTGGCCTTGAGCTCACTTTGTAGCCCAGGCTGGTCTCAAACTTGAAACAGTCCTCCTGCCTCAGCCTCCCCAATGCTGGGATTACAGGTGTGCGCCACCATGCCTGGTTAATAGATACTTATTTCAATCCTATTATTTTCTAGACACTCTAGCATTTGTTTGAAAGGCAAATACAACAAGATCACCTCAAGGGTACACTCTGATTTCAGAGAAACTAGTGAACTGAAGAACATGATATGTTATTTATGACACGAGTATACAAAAAAACACAAAGCAACCGAAGCTGCTCCTAGGATGAACAGCCAGTAACGGTCACCTGCCAGCCCTGAGACCTTACAGAGAGGTACAGTAGCAAGACATCGGCCTGACAATGACACGCATTTTGCACATCTCCTAAAAGGACTAAGCTCAATTTTATTTTCAAGATCCCTAAGCTCTAGAATGATTTCAAGAGCTCACAACCCCAGATCATATCTTTAATGCTTAGAATTCCCGCAAGAGGAAACTAAACAGCCTATAAGTGAGATTGAAGGTTTTATAGTGAATTCCTGTTCTAAACAACGCCTTCATTTAAGCTTATTCAAACCAAGTTCTTAATTTACTAGTAAATGAGTATCCTTATATTCCTCCCTGAGCTGAGGAAGTTTCAGAAAGAGCTTTTCTTCAGTAACCTGGCACTTAATGCAGTATCAGTAATGTAAGCAGATTCATGTTTACATATTCATAATTTGTAAAGCAGACTTGATAGTAAAAGTGTTTACTTTCTGAAGGTTTTGTTCAAGGAAATAAAAGCATTACTTTTTAAAAATGTTGACAAATATATTTTCCAAATGTCTTTTCCAAGGCTGTAAATAGAAAATCCCCTAAATGATATCCAGGAATAGTTAGGAGGTCCTCCTCATGCACACAGTATTAAATGATAAAAAGAAAGCTTCACTGTAAAAATTTTCTACACATAGTTACAACGGCTGTACCTCACCTTTTGATTTTTCCACTTGTGGAGTTTCTTCCAATTCAACAAGGGGCTTTTTGTTTGGAGGTTCTGGGGAATCAGGTGAATCTTTTATAATCTCAGCTTCAGCCAACTCTTCTTTTCCATGTTCTAAAATCCCTTTCAATCTTTTAGAGGACAAACAGCGAAATGTAAAATTAAAATATCAGACGTTCACAATCACTACTTTTGCATGTCAGTATTACAAAAGATAGCCTATCTCACAAGTAAGCCTAGAGACTAAGCAGGTATTTCAATCTAAGGCAAGAAAACATAATGAATTAAACACTAATTTCCCTTTTTCTTCATAAAAATAATGTAATAATTCAGGAACTAGTCAGCTATAAAATAGGAAAAACTAAAGGAAAACTTAAGCTACCATTAAAAAGGTGAGAAATAATGTGATCTTTAAAAGATCACAATTTTCAAGATATGGACAAACTACTACTCCAAATTATAAGTAAGATTAAGAAGTTTACTATCATTTGTTTGATAGTCTAGGTAATACGAAAATGTATTTAGGTTCCACAAGTTAGGAGTTTAACTTTATACTGAGTTTTATCAGGGAACAAAAATACTTTAAAATCCACACAAGTATACCTAAAGGTCAATGGGAGCTGACTAGCACCTTTTTTTTTTATAATGAGCTAATTTTGTTTCAGAAACTCAGTAGCCCCGAGGAAAATGTGAACTTCTGAAGTCAAAGAGAATAAAAGTAGATCTATGTATTTATGGAAGAAATGATATGACTTCTAGAATTAACTGCAAAATATTCCTAAGGGGTGGTGGCGGTGAGGACAGTGAGTATGTTCCTATAAACTGAGATCTGCCATCAATTAGTAGTTGTTGAAGGCAGATGATGGCTATCTATTTTGTCTGTTATATATGTTTGAAATTTTCTCTAAGAAAAAGTTACTTTGTTTTTAAGGACTTACTACAGTGCCATTATAGAATTTGTGTTGTCTGCTTGACTTCTGGCAAGGAAGTGGAAAATGTAGTGCCAACTGTATTATGATTCTGTTTTATATTTTTATTTATAGATGTTTACTACTTTTCATGTTTTTTTTTTCCAAGCTTAACCCTGACATCACTATACAAATCATAAACTAAAAAAAGAAAGAGTGCACTGCTGAGGAATGTTTTCAGACTTAGGACCGCAGGCGCTCCCTCTGTGCTCCCATGGGTATCCTGTGCCTAACTGTAAAGGCACCTTCCGCACTGCACTGTCCTTGCTGACTTGCTTGCCTGCTTCTACCCTATGTAAGCTTCCCAGCTGGGGAGCTTGTGCCAAAGGCCTGACACATGATAGGTATTAAGCATTTAGTGAACAAAAAAAACTTGTTCTTGAAATCCATAACGCATAAAGTACATGCTGATACCAAACATCATATACTATGATTTTCAGAAGCCAGTTAGGAGAAAGTAATGCTGCTTTTGTCCTGACAGTAAAAACTTGAACCTTTTTAAGCTCCAGAAGATCCTCTATAGATTTTAAGAATGCCAAAATTGCAGTTATGAAATGAACCAGCACACACTGAATGAGATTGAACGTCTGCACGCACTCTGAGCAGATGGTCGACGCCGGGACCCTCGGACGCAGTACGGAAGGCCAAAGTTACCTCTCTGAATCCTGCCAAGACTTTTCCTGTTCATAATCTTTCACTGCCTTTTCTGACTTGTCTTCTTTGTCCTCTCGCTTTCTCCCTCGCTTCTTTCGTTCTTCTTCTTCTGGGGGTTTGCTTCTGCATGCCATCAGGCATTCCAAGACTCTCTGATGTTTCTCGGAGTTGTTGATATGGGCTCTGACAAGGGTTTCTAATTCATTCCACATGATACGGTACTGTTCATCTCTGCCGTAAAGATGTGAAATAACACTCTCAGAAATACTCTTTAAACAAATATTTAAATATTAAATAATACTGAAGTGCTACTTGCTACTGGCAAAGTAAAAGGAAATAACTAATGGACCTGTTTCCTTTATTTGACAGTTACTGGTGAAATTGTAAGTTATAATGTATCCACGTCTGCCAGTCTTTATCTCCATATACGTACATATGCATACACATAAACCTTCAAATATAACTTACATGTGGAATAAGTTACCTTTTTCTCTTTCTGAGACAGGGTCTCGCTATATAGATCAGGTTGGCCTTGAACTCACTACGTAGCCCAGACTGGACTCAAACTCAGGGCGATCCTCCTGCCTCAGCCTCCCGGACGCTGGGATTACAGGCGTGCACCACCACGCCCAGCTTGGAATAAATTATTTTAAGAAACAGTATATATCAAGTAAATGTTATGTATAAAGAAAGTAAGAAGAAAACTACCTTTTAGGGCCCTTTCCTCTTGTACCAACTGTGGAAATAGGTAGAGGATCATTTTTTCTTTCCATATCAACTAAGTTGTATATTGTTTTTTGACAGTTTAACACATCTTCTTCTGTCAAAGATTCTTTCACAATAACACTGGCTAATGGAACTACCTGTTAGATTTTTTTTTAAAAGAAAAAAGAAAATCTGTCTTGAAAAACAAATATCAAAGCATCTAGGCAGAAGTTGATTTTAATACTGACTTTAAAGATCCCCATGGTGAGGGAATCTGTAACTAACCCTCCATTCTTAATTACTAATTCTGTAACTACAGCAAATATGCATTTCATTCTGTGCTTGAGAACTGGTATCAATTACAAATTTTCTAATTTGTTTCTACAAAAAATATATATATAACTGATCTAAAAAAAACTCTCTACTTACCGCTTGCATGTTGAAAATGGTGGTTTGTGAAATAATCATTGGCCAGTAACGGGTGTGTTTTTCTAACTGATCTTTTGCTCGTTCCAAAGGGATCTCAAGACTTCCATCGATTTTATATCTGGGGTCTAGAAAAGGAGTTAATCTGTTTTCCCTCATAAATTCACCAAAATCCTAATGATAACCAAATAAGATAAAATTAGAAACTCTCTCTCGTGTTTCCAAACGGAGCACATGTAACAGTCTGCTCACCTCACCTCGTCTGGCCTGTGGTTTGCAACCACGCCTTCTCCCTGAACACAGCCCCCCAGTCTCACTTCTCTCCTTTTTTGAACTTGAAACCTATCAGCATTTATCAAACAGAAATGAAGAAAGCCTCAAATGTACTACTTTTTCCATTTGAAAAACCTGGGAATATTCATTTTATTTCACTGCTGTAGTTTCACTTTTTTCTAAGTGAATAACATTAGAAGCCCAATTTGGTTAGTTACTCAGAAAGTAACCTGACACAACATCAAAGTGTTAACATGAGTTATCTTTCAATAGTGAAATTATAGGTAATTTAAAGGATTTTTTGTTTGTTTTTTAGATATCTGTATGTTCTACATTTTCCACAATGAATACCAATCAGCTTTCTCCTTACTTAAAAAAAAAAAAAATTAAAGAAATACCTAGTCAAAAACAATCACTTAAAATGTATAATACTCTGTGGTTTACAAAGTATACTTATATAGATAAATCACATTTGTGGCACAAAGTATATTTATACAGATAAATCACATTAAATTTTTACAACCATCTCAAAGAGAAGACAGTCATAAAATACCAAATATGAAAAGGGGAAGGAGCATGAAAAATTAAAATCAGAACAAAAGGATTTCTACCAAAAAGCCACACTATTTTCTTGTATATTCCTTCCAATAATGCAAGAGTTAATTTATTTCAAGTACCAGCCATCAAAATATTTAAGTGTTTCTGCTTGGCATTTAAATGACTAGAAACTAAATTCCATTTCAAGTGTTAGCTCATTAGCCAGGTGTGGTAGGGCACACCTATAAATCCCTGCACTTGGGAGGCTGAGGCAAGAGGATTGCTGCAAGTTCGAGGCCAACCTGGGCTATAGATTGAGTTCAAGGCCAGCCGGAACTACATGTCAAGACCCTGTCTCAACGCCCTCCTCAAGAAAAAGCTCAAATAAATTTTCCTTCTCCTCTTAAAATTCCAGTGCATCAGTATACTTCTCAGTACACAATGAGCATGTAACATGGAAGACGAGGGATACATAGGTCCTTTAAGCAAGTACTACAATAAATTCACCTACATAAAATAACAAATAAATAATATTCTTCCAAACCTATTTTTTCTCACAGTTCTTAGTATACAATGGGAGCTCAGTAACTACTTGCTGACAGACTCAAAACAAGATTTATAGGAAAGGCTTACTGTAATCCGGTAGTCTGTAACTCTTCCTCCACATCCTTCACTAATTGAAGGTGGATCCTCCAGAATGGATCGAGAACTGCTAAGGACATGCAAAAAAATCTCTCCTCCATGGCTACTAAGCATATGACTAATGACTTTGGAACCTGACTTTCGTGGTTGTTCCAATAAAACAGAACGACCTGTCAAAGCAAGATTATGCTATCAGTGAGGAAATTCAAATGGGAGCACACAATGCCCACCTACGGCAAGAAAGAAAAGGCTAAGTTTAGATTATCGATCTCCAAATTTTAAGCAACACTGCTAATTTAGTATGCCTAAGTTTCAATTTCTACAACTCTGAATCCTAGCCTGAGTTTACTCTCAGATACTGCAAGATTACATAGTAATTGGGACAGCCTTCCAAAAAAAACCTAGGAATCCCTATGTTTACTGTACATTATTCAATTTCAGGTTCACATAAAATTTTTCTTCTGAACACTCAAGATGAGATGACTGGCTAATTCTCTGGTTCCTACTACTACAATACATTTTAGGAGAAGGCAGTCTCAGTTTATTTCCACAATACTGCCTCATCAGCACTGTTATGAGTGTGAATGTTCTTTTCCATGTGTGAAATGTTGTTAAATCCATATTTAACAGTCTGATATCCAAGTATGCTTAATGTAACTTATACTTACAAATTTTTTTTCACACAAAATATCACAGATTTGAAGTCACAGGTAAAAATTATATGCTGAAATGTTGAAAATACACTTACATATAATAAAGTGCTCAAACAGAAATAAATTTACATATACACTGTAATTTAAAATTCAGTGGGTCAAAATAAACGGTCCATATTATTGTAGCTTCCAAAATTAATCAAGTTAGATTCTACAGGTCAAGTGTTTTTCAATAAAAATACCCTGTTAAATAAATCTCATTTAGATATAATAATCTGAAAGTCAGACATAGTCATCCTATTTTTTAAACCTTAAGAGAACTGTTAAAGGGCATTTCCATTTATGTAATTTTAACACAGCTTTGACAAATAGTGAGACTACACTGGCACAAACAGCTTTCTATAGCTCATATTCTCACTTTTAATTATTCACTTATAATAATCTCAGTAAAATCATTAAATGATAAAAGTTACCATTTAGAAGAAAGTTAGTAAGGCAGGAAGAAGGTCTACTATTTACATCTACGGGTGAAATTCGATAAGCTCCAGTACAATAGTGTAATTCTGAAATAGAAGAAAACACTGATTTGAAAGAATATAAAGAAATATTCCCACAATTAAAAGAAAAAAGCTTATATATTGAGACCTTAAAACAATAAAAACAAAAAAGAAATTAGCTGCTCCTCATACACTACTTGTAAGAATCACTGCTCTACCCTTTCCTCTTTCAATTATTTTAAAATACCTACCAATGTTATTTGTCCTTGGTGTGCACCACTTTAAGGTTATCGTTTCTTTAAATGGGCCTTCTCTGTTGCTGCCGCCCAAGTGGGAATCACCTTTGAAAATGTCCGAGAAACATTAACATTACTAATAGATCACAGCTTTAAACTAGTTGTTCACGTAAGATTTCAGAGCAAGTTTAAGCTCTGTAAGAGAAAATAACTCAGAAAACATCTTTTTCTATAAAATCCCCTACAAAAATGCCAGAGTATGGATATTTGCTCTCATTAAAAGTAATATGTAATATCCCTCCGAATTTTTCATTAATTAATAGTTTAGGACACTGTGCTGAGTTAACAGCAAAAATTTTAAAAAATTTAGCCATCTCCAGTGATTCCTACCTGCCCACACCATTAAATGATACAAGAGCATAGTTAAATACTCTGAGAAAGTTTAAGGAATCTAAACTTCAGGATTCCTATTACTGAATCCTGAAGAATTTGTAGAAGAGACGTAGGGAAAGGAATCTAGGAAGGAAGTACGTACAGAGATGTTACAGTGAGCATTTTCTTGGTTTTTACTTTAACAAAGTCCTCAGTAAAGTAGAGTACACACGTTAATCAATAATAAATGTAAACTACAAAGTGGACAATGTTTTGAACATAACATACAGCACTACAAGTATCGGTAAGACAGATATGGTCTATTCTAATTCAGCAGAAAAAAAAAAGCTCCTTTAAAAGTGATGATCAGTCTGAGTTCTAAGAGGATGAGTAGATATTATCGTTTAAAAAAAGGACAAGAAAGTACTAAGGCAAAGGGATCAGCAGCAGATGCCAAGAACCTGTGGCAGGAGGGGCAACATGAGGACAGTCAGGTCTGCACGGCAAAAAAGCATGAAATGAGAACAGAAAAGAGACGGAGCCAGACAACGCATGGCTTCATAGGACATCTAAATAATTCTGTCTTTATCCTAAGGGCAACAAAAAAGTGCTGGACCATTGAAGCACAAGGCAAAAGGGTCAAGATCAGCGTTCCAAAAGTTCATCTAGCAACAGCGCAAAGAGTGACCACAGACAGAACATTACGAGGCAACTCTGGGATTCTTGGTAAGAAAACAGTAAGGCTTCATTAGGGAGATGACAACGGTGCTGGAGATGCAGATGCAAATATGTTTGAGAGATACTTAGTAGGTGAAATCGAGAAAATATGATAATGAATTAGCTATGAAGACTGACAAACAGAGGTCTCAAAGATGATTCTGAGGTTTGTGCCTCATATAACTGACAACAGGATCGTTCACAAAAAGGGAATATTAAAAGACCAGTTCAAGGAGCAAAGCTTGTAAGCTGTGCTGAGTATGCTGAGTTTAAATCCTGAGCGACATGTACAAGACAGAACTAGGCACTAGAACACACAGACCAGGAACTATCTCTGGGCTAAAGTATAAGCCTACTACTCGCCAAGATCCAGCTCGGTGAGGCCTGACTCTTTTTTTTTTTTGTACCGGGAATTGAACTCAGAACCTTGTACTTGCCAGGCAGGTGCTTATGCCACTGAGCTATATCCCTGGCCCATAGACCTGACTAACTCTTAAGAGACATAATCAAGCATATGCAGCCTCCTCCACAGAACAAGCTAACAAATACTTTAGGCGAATATTTTGTATTAATGAGAACTGCTTTTTTTGTTGTTGTTGGTAACATCTGAGTTTCAAAAATAAGTATCACCTCACAGATTCTTAGCAGCTTGCATAAATTTTACTTTCAAAAGCAAGGTCTGTACAGCCCTTTGTGAAACATAAAAGATGCACTTATTGCAGTAGTTTTCCCTCTGTTAGCAACTTCTCAGAAAAATCCCAAAATTCCTTAGACATGTAAGAACTGTTATGATTAGCTCTTAATTATAATTCAGAATAGATGCACACAATTAGTCAACTATTTAATTTTGTGATAGCATCCATCTAGATAGAAAACACTATCTCTGAAAATAAACTTCAAATTTTAAAATTGCACTGGATTTTAGGATTGCATAGATTATTACAATTCACCTACTCCATCATCTGTAAATTTAAGCATCCAAGCTGAAGTCTAGAAACACACGGAACCTGCCTACTGGTAGCAAAGCGTTAGCTAAAGCTCTTACATCCCAACTCCAGAGTCTTCTTCCCTCAGCCATGTCAACATGCTTACAGAAATCATAGTTCTAGGGAGGAGACATACGGATTGAAACAACTTTTAGAGGAAAACAACATTTAAATTTCAGTTTTTATCCAGGCTAGCTGTAATGTGCATCACTTCTTACAAGGCTGCTCCTGTTCTTTCCTTATGCCAGGGTTGCTTGCCTAAAGGAGAGAAACTTGCCAAGAGCTTGGAAAAACTCTTATGTTTGAGAAAGACATTTGATCTTTCTCAACACAGTGGTGCCTCGGTTCTCCCACGCTTTTCTTGTGAAACGTTTGGCAAAGTGTTTTTGTTTGCGAACTCTGCAGCGGGTGAAGAACACTACTGTGGTCATCTTTCCCGCACAAACATGAATGTGACCATCTTTTCCAGGATTGTGGAACACAGTAAGTTCGTGAACCGAGGTACCACGGTATTTGCTCCATCAGCCTATTCTTCCCCAAAGTGCTGTGAACCACGTAGAACATTAGTTCTGTAGCCATTAATAGATGATATTGTCAGATATGTCTGGAGAGAGATGAGCTGAAGTCATTCAGGTCTGCATACTGAAGAACTTCTCAGAACTGTTCGTATCCTTTTATACGGTGGAGCTTACAAAAGACACTACTTGCAAATGTCTCTTACCACTTTTCAGGAAATCTACATGTGCATCTTTGTGATGAAGTAGCTCCACATCGTAATTGGCAGATGTGTTAGCATGTTGTTCTTCCTTTAAGCAAAATTGAAAACATTTCAAATAACTTGGTTTTGCTTTCAAAATAATGAAATTAATTATTCATTTTGCTTACCCGAGGTCAAATATATTCAACCATAGTAAACTACACTAATGGGATAGTTTGCTCAGTAATTCATCTATTTAAAGATGCAAGAGTTTTCAATGGCATTATGAATACTACTTAAAAACTACTGACAATACATATATGTAAAATATTTAATGATTTTCTTACATTATATCAGATTTAACATAAGTGACTAGTCCAAAAGTTTTGGACTTTTTTTTTACTCCAAATGTTTTGTCTTTTATCAATACTTTCTATATATCAATACAGTATAATGCAAATAATATATGCAAATTCAAAGTAAGTAATGTTAAAAAGAGGAAAATAGCATCTTTAAATACCTGCAGTGAACCAATAAACACCAGTGATATAAAATAGCAATTACAAACTAAAAGACAAGCTTAACAACTTGTTTTCACGTAATAAATAGGAACTTCAAAATTATCTATTTACCAAAAAGACAAAGATTGAAGAGTCACACCAGTAAAAGACAAATTCAGCAAGCAAGTCATCTATGACCCTCATCATATTTTTCTAACTCATGAATGTAATGAATTCTTGTTTTTTTTGTTTTTCTCTGGTACCGGGAACTGAACTCACGACCTTGCGCTTGCCAGGTAGGCGCTTTTTGCCACTGAGTTAAATCCCCAGCCCTGTAATGAATTCTATATTGAAGTATACCTACCATAGTATCTGTGTATTATTTTCTTTGTTAATTGCTTCTGCATCCAAAGGTTAAAAAGGTAGGCCTAAAATTTCTAGTAAACAACCAGCCAATGGAATTAGAAGGAAATTAACAACGAAAGAGTTGTATTTATCATGCAATTTAGTGTTCACGGTGTAGTGGCAAAAAATTGAAACTGGACTACAGGAAAGTCAATGTAAACTTCTAAGTATAGTAATTAGTTGTTTTAGATATAATCAATGAAATTATATTCAATTCAATATTTCCTGACTA